GAGCTGCCCGCTCAGCCGGCGGTGCAGCCCCTGGAGCGGCCCGAGCTGCAGCCCTTTGCAGGCGACGCGGTCTACCTGCCGGAGTTCCTGATGCGGCTGGAGACCTTCATAGCCGACCACGAGGACCACTTCCCGGGGGGCGCTGAGCGGGTGGCCTTTCTGATCTCCTTTTTCACCGGCGACGCCAAGGACTGGGCCGTCTCAGTCACCCAGGAAGGAAGCCCCCTGCGCGCCAACTTCTCACGCTTCCTCGATGAAATCCGTAAGAAATTCTGTGGCCCCATCCCCCCCAGTGTGGCGAAGAAGGCCATCCGCAAGCTCAAGCAGGGTGACTGCACCCTCGGCAGCTATGCAGATGCTTTCCAGTTCCTGGCCCAGTTCTTGTCCTGGGACGACTGCCGCCTTCAAAATCAGTTCCTCAAGGGCCTGTCGGAATTCTTCCGCAAGGAGCTCCTGTGGTCCACCGAGATGGCCGACCTGGACGAGCTGATCCTCGAGTGTGTGGAGATCGAGAGGAAAGTGCGCGTCCCCAAGCCCATCCCGCTCCCCGGGGTGCGCAGCACCTTCTTCCCGTTCGCTGCAGACCCTGCCGCCGACGGCCGCGAGGACGAGCGCCACAGCGAGGACGAAGACGCGGAGGCGCGCAGGCGCGCGCTCTCCGACCAGGACCAGCGGAGGCGGGGGCGCGACGCTCAGCCGGAGGTGCGGGAGCAGGAGGAGGAGGACAAGAAGAAGAAGGAGGAAGAGACGAAGAAGAAGAAGGAGGAGGAGATGAAAGCGAAATGGGACGAGGACGACGACGAGGACGAGATCGTGGTGGTGGACGACGACGACGACGACGAGGTGAGGAAGGAGGAGGGGGCGGCGAGGGGCCAGTGCCCGGTGCCGGTGCCGGACCCCGAGGAGCCAGAGCCGGAGGAAGACACGGAGGACGAGGCCCAAGACGACGACCTCGAAGACCTGATGGAGGTGGCGCCCACCTTCGCCAACGCGTCGTCCCAGACCTCTGGCTACTACCATGAAAATTTCCTGGAGGCACCGCCTCCCGTCGCGCAGCCCAGCAGACGGAGGAACCAGAACCGCGTCCCCCTGCTGGAGGGCCTGCCAGGTACCAATTCCCCCTTCTACAGCTCGCCGCCGCTGATTCGCCGGGCAGGCCGCTTGGGGCAGCGCCACACTCGAAGACGCCCCCCTGTGCTGTTCCGCCTCACGCCCAGGCAGGGGGGCCACCGCGCCGCACGTGGTCGCATCCGCGTGTGAGTGCGGGGCGACATGGCCGCCCGGAACACACCCTTCTTCTGCGTCCCCGCCCCTGCTGTCGCCGCCACACCTTCCCCGCTTGCTGACCAGTACTTAAGGGAGGTCCAGACCTGCGGACACCGAACCAGACCTGTAGAGCTCACACCGGCCTGCAGCCACGGCCGGGGAGGGACAGTGCCCGGCCGGGGCGCCCCCGGAGAGGAGGGTCGGCTGCCCTCTCGCCTGCCCTCTCCTCGGCCCCGCCACAGGCAGATTCCTGGGCCTTTTCCCACAGACAAACTGGTCACCCTCGCATTTCCCCTCTAGTTGTTCCTAATCCTGTGTCCTGCGGTTTGATCCTCTGACCGGCTCACCAGGGCTCGGCCCAGTGCCTCACTGATCCTCCCCAATGAGTGCCAAGACAGGCCTCGCCGAACTCCTAGAGCCACTGAGGCCACTTACTAGACATAACCCAGGACAGCAGGCGGGTTTCCAGACGTGGGCCTGAAGCCTCCCCCTTCTCCAAGCCACACCTCCAGCAGAAGGGCCCCAGAGGGGACAGACGTCCCCACCGGTGAGGGTGTGCGAAGCCACGTGTCAGATGGACAGCTTGGCTGACGTTTGTCCCTGGATCGGCTCACCGCACGTGCAGCCCTGTCTTCTTACCACACACCCCACCGGGGCTTCCCCAGCGCCCGGCACCCAGAGTTCCAGGTGTCCCCCACTTCTTGATGTGGCCTGGAGGGTGGTGGGGGGGGAGGAGGAGGAAGCAGCAGGACTTCGATTGACACGGTGAGGCTGTCTCCTTCCCGAGCCAGGCCTTGGCCTGCGGCTCCCAGCCAAAGGTCTTCACGTGACTGTCGCCATCCTCGGGGGTCCACAGGGGGCCTCATTGGCCTTTCCTTCCCAGACCGCCACTGAAAGAGGGCCCTGGGCCTGCTTTGCAACTTCAGCTTCTCCCAGGAGAGAGGAAGGAAGGTGCTCTCTAGAGACTGCACCCCCTGCAGCCTCACAGGCGGGGTGACCTCGCATCTCCCACATGGGGTCGAGCACGGCCTGCTCTGCCCCGGATGCTGAGCGTGCTCAGTGCCCAGCCTCTGGGGCAGCCACAGTGCCTGTCACCGGTGGGAAGAAGGCAGAGTCCACTGAGGCCCCGTTCCTCGCTGGAGTCGGATGACTTCAGCTCAGCCTTGGGATTTGGAGCCTGAAGCAGAGGCGTCGGAGAAGCCCAGTCCTCTCTCTGGTTTCTGGTGCGGTGCCTGCGTCAGTGGGAGGTAAGAAGCCCTTCCGTCCGTCACGCGTTTCTCAGCCTGATCGGTGGGGCGGGCCCTGTTCGTATCACCTGTTGCTACCTTTTAAAAAAGCTTTCCCTCCTCCAAAGAGAAAAGTCATGCATAATCATGATAGGAAATTTGGAAAATACAGAACACTATAAGGCCCCCCCCCCCGCCCCCCGCCCGGCCGCCGCACATTCAGAAGCCCGCCCCACAGACGCAAGGACTGTTAACACTTTGCTGCCTTTCCGGTATGTTCTCGGTGCGTCTTTTCAAGCTGTTGTTCAGCAAGCTTTAAAATGGCTGCCACCTGTGCAGTCACGCGTGCCGAGTAGTTTAAGTGTGCTCCTTATTTGTTGCACATTGCAGCCGCCTGGTCTTCCCCTTCCCCACCAGGGCAGGAGTAAACAGCAACCATAAAGAAAATTTGTCTTTTTCAGCTATTTCTTCAGGAGGGCGTCCCAGAAGGGGAACTGCTGTTCTCTGAGGCTGTGGACCCGGTCTGCTGATGGTCAACGCGCGCTGGCCCTGCTGCCCATGTCCCTGCCGGAGAAGTGCCAAGGACAGCTCCAGGGACCCGTCAGCACAAGCCCTGACTGTCCCCCTGGCGCTTCTTACTTTGAGCCCTTGTAGCCTCAGCCCGGGAAAGACCGGGTGAGCAGTGAGCTGGCTCCCGGCCCTCCGGGGACCTGGGTTTCCCTTTGACCCCGTCCCGCTTCCCACATCTTCTGTACTTGTCGTGATGTAACAGCCACAAGAGCTGAAAGAGGAACTATGGGCTTTGGGTGCTTTCTTGGGTTGAAAGAGGGGTGGGGGGTGCATGCAGGGTACGAAGGCAGCCCAAGGATTCCCAGAGACTCGGGAGGAAAGCTGCCGGAAATTAATGTGGTGTCGTTATTGTATTCTCGTGCTGTGAAGATAAGAAATCCTTCTGTCTGCTAAAGCTTTCTCCTCAATAAAAATGCAAAGGGTGTGTAAAAACTGTGTCTGCGTCACTGGGCACCCGGGGCGGGGGGCGGGGGACGCGGGGGCACCTAGCCTGAAGCCTAGCGATCCTTAGATGAGGAAACTTAAGGCCCAGGGAGGCTCAAGGGACCTACACGGCGGTGGTGGTGGTGGTGGTGGTGGTGGTGGTGATGATGATGATGATGATGATGATATTTTAACAACTGAAAAATGTCTGAGGTGGGAAATCACATCACACGAAATACAGAAGTTTCAAGTACATTTTGTTTCTGGGTGCTACCGAGGTTTTTGTTTCATGTAGTTCTCATCCATTCCTTTTAATTGCCTTTGGGGGTTAAAATTCAGAATGGAAATGTCTTCTAGTATAGTCTGGATTGATCTTTTTAGTGTGGTTTGAATTTCCCTGGGGCAGCGCTAGGTGGCGCCGCGGGACATGAGCCGGGCAGCTGCCGAAGTTCCGCGCACACTGCCGGGAGCCATCCTCCCAAAGACCCTCCCAGCGGGATCTCACTGCTCCTACAGGCTGGGGATCAGGAGAGATTGAAGCCCTTTCTGGGATTCACTCCGGTTCCCCGGCCACAAGTTGGAAACTTTTCCCGGTCCGGCGGGTGGGAACGTCTATGCGGCCCCCGCCGGGTGCGAGTGTTGGGCCGTGCACTCGACATCCGCTGCCTTTTAGTTCACTTTACCCTCATCTTACAGTTGAGGAAACGGGCTCAGAGAGGTCCCCGGTGCAAGGTTTACACAGCTGGGAAGTGGCTCTTTCACATTCCCACAGCTGCCCGGTTGTCAGCTCCAGCGACACTGGGCCCCTCGCCGCCTCCACTCGCAGGCCCTACTGTCTCCTGGGTGGGCCCTGTCCTGCCTGCGCTCCCCCAGCTGACATGTACAGCAGGCGACACGGGCTCAGGCACTTGCAGCAACGCAGTCTCGCTTCACCCCCCCCAACAACTCAGTGTGGCTGGTAATGGTGTCTCTTTTTAGAGCCAACGGACCCGACTCTCCGAGGTGCTAGGTTCCGTGGGGGACTCGGGTCTGTGACTCCCAAACCCATACTCTCTCAACTCGAATCCGCCACGCTGCCTCCCAGGAAAGCCCCTGACGAGCTCAAGCGTCAACGTCACTAGACTCTGTGTCTCTGCGCAGGTGCGCCTCAGGCACTGAGAAGCAGCAGGAGGCACCTCTGCCCTGCGGGGAAGGGTCCGCGGAGTAAGGCTGGCAGTGCGCATGAGTCAGTCGCTGACTGCCCCTTCTGGGGACGGCCGAGGCTGTGGGGCCATAGTCGCTTCTGCAGCACTTGGGCTCCCTGTTCTGCTTCAGGGGGTCTTGCTATCGCTGAGGCGGGCCCCACTGTTTGCTCATTCATTCTGTAAGGGAACTGGTGGCTCAAGGTCACTTGCTCCATCTGCAGGATTCGACTGTGAACTCCAACAGTTCGAAATCCAGAAACCAGAGCTGCCACCCTCCACTCACATCTGCACTGATAGAATGAGAATCTCCTGGTATTTCTATTTCTAAACACTCTAGGCAACTCTAATGCACAGCCCAGCCCAGCCCAGCACAGTAAAGAGCGGTGGGGACTAACTATCCCAGGGACATTTAATGGCCACTTTGGTTCCGAGTCTTAGTAAGTGAATGAGAAACACTGGTGTCAGCTCGCCCCTCCTGGACACCTGCTCAGATGGCAGCTTCCGGACACAGAGGTGCCACAGGCAGGTGCAGAAGTCTGGCCCCAAGAGACCAGGTCCATTAGAACCTAAACCTTTACCCTTGACTTCAAGAAGCTACACACATGGGGCCTTTGCCCCTCCCTGGGGATAAAGACAGGCATTAACAAGGCCAGAGATTACCCCTGAATTGGGAGGGAGCTCCACCCCCACCAGCACTTCCTACATCCTGCCCAGACGCAGGAAAGTTCTGCAGGCTACTTCTCCCCAGGGGCTCAACAGACACAGAAACACAAAGCCCAGGGTTCTCGGTTGCCCTGGTAACAGCAGGACCTACTTGGGAGAAAACAGTCTCTGAAAGGGTTAGGAGGGTGGATATTTCCTTTGACAGAGGGCGGGCTCTGACTTGCTCCTTGAGTCCCCTCTCCCCTTTGTGCCTGCCACACATAGGGACAGAGCTGGGGCCCCTCGCCTCAGCAACTCTCCTGGGTGGGGGGAGGTGACAGAAAGTAGGGCCCTGGCTTTTTATTCTGCTCTTGCTGTGGGCTGGTAAGATGAGGAAGAGGCTGTAATGGAAGGTGTTAGCATGTGGATTCATGGCAACCGTCCTCTGGCCGACGGAGCGCTGCGCCTCATACAACACGGGTTCAAACAAACCTTAGGAGGGCAGGTGCCCGCAGCAGTCATGCCAGTTCCTCGCCACTTGGGAGACCTGAGCTGGAGAGAGCATCCAGAAGTTCTCCAAGCTCAGTCCCTCCTCATGTCTCGCCTTGACTACCGAGGTGGCCCCCCTGCTGGTCTAAGCAGCTTCTAGTCTCTACCCTTTCAGGATGCCTGGGGATGGGGCATGCCATCTGCCCATGCCATCCTTCTCCACTCTTCCATTCAGTAGAAACTGTAGGCATCCTTCCTTCCTTCCTTCCTTCCTTCCTTCCTTCCTTCCTTCCTTCCTTTCCTTCCTTCCTTCCTTCCTTCCTTCCCTTCCTCCTTCCTTCCCAGGGCTTTTCATGCCTCTGGGCCTTTGCACACCCTAGTCCCTCTGCCTTAAAAATTCATGAGCACTCCTGGCCCCTGTCCAACTGGCCATCTCCTCAGCTCATAGATCACTTCCTCCATGAGGCAGCCTTTACTCCCCAGACAAGCTCCTGCTCTTC